GTGCAAGAGAGCATTTCTATAACTTACGATCTTCTAATCTTTTAATTTTGTCAGTACCAGCATTCTGCTCTGAATCCACTGAGGCTGCCATCAGTTATCAAAGACCCAGGTCTTAGAATTCAATGCTGCTAGACTAAATAAAAATTGTCAGCAATCTTTAGTTTTAAAAACAGTGGATGGTTTTCTGGCTCTATCATGTAGTGTAAGTATAAGTACTTACCAAGTGCATCTTATTACATCTAGTGTTATGAGACTCAGATCTTTAGCAGCTTCATGGATCATGAGATCAATACAAGAATCTGCAGTCTTGTTTCCCCTCTAGGTCACCTGTATTAACGTTTCTTCTTTTTTATTTGTATAGTGTTTAGCACGTTATAGGTGTTGCTAGAAACAAATAATAATGCAAATGGTAACTACAATAATAATATAACCCTGTTATTTTTCGTGCACCTCTGCAGAGGAAGTTTTAGTTTCTAAAATACCTTCCGCACCAAGATCCTTCAATTTAGGATAATAAAGATGAGCTGTAATAGCCCAGATGTGTGAGAATTCCTCCTTTGCTGAGTTGTTTTCATCACAACATGGAACTTGTGTATTCTTCTACCAAACAACCCCCCCCCTGTTTTCTGCTGTTGCATAACTGCTGAAATGTGGTAAAGCAAACAAACAAAAACTAACCCCCAGGGGCAATGTCTTTTGAGAGTGATAACTTCATTTAATTTAATGCTGGGTTTACAACATAAATACAGCTCCATTCACAAATACTGTCCAACAAGAGAGACTGGAGTGCTCAGTGTGTGGGGGCACAGGCACCCACAGAGATACAGTCGCCCTTGAGTACCACCATCATTATTCAGCTGCATATTATCACTTGTTTTCATGGTCCTTTGCATGGTGCATTGTCCATGAATGTTCTCTCATGTGTCTATGCTGCCTTGCACACTAGAATGTATTCATGGGAGCTCTGGACAGGGTTTATTTTAAAAGTTGAATTAGCGTGTTACAGAACGGCTCCATTTGCCCCAGAGAGATTTAGTGAATCTAATTAATCAATCCTCAAGCCCCTCTTGTGTGGCTCTTCCCCTTTGTGTGTTGCAGGAGCCCCTTTGGGATGCTGCATCTCCATCACTCCATCCTGCTGATTGCCCTCTAGGCGTTCTACACTATTAGTCTTGGTGGCTCATGCAGAATGTGGCAACAAACCCTTATAATCTTCTTCAAACTCTGTAAGTGGGTGTAATGCATCTACAGCTGCTCGTGTTTCCTACCACAGCTGAGCGATGGGAAAGCAGTTAGACTGTTACTCACCTCGCAATGGCCACTGATTTATTCCTGCAGCAGACTTTGCTTCCAGCACTTCCCTAAGTGGAACTCATACTCTATGTGGTTCCTCTGGGCATACTGAGAGACCTACTGACTGATATTTCCCAGCCCTTGGTCCTGTCTCATATTCCTCGCACTTACATTTTCTATGCTGAGGAAGGCAGCAGCATCTGCAATGGGAATAGCTGTGAGGCTCAGAGCTAGAAAAGCCATCAAGGGCTTTTGCTCTGTTTTTATATATATATTCCCTTGGGTCAGCATCTTGTGGTCATTTCATATTTGTTCTGTAGACTCCAGGATTTTTAGCAGCAGGCAAATTTAGTCAGCTCACATCAACCCCCAATAAGATCCAGACATCTTAGGTTGATCAGCAGCAAAGAAGAAGAAGAATTAAGCATTAATGGCCTGTTGGGAAGTGAGTGACAATATCCCACCAGTTATCACAGCCTGCTAAAGAAATGCAGAAAGGTTGTTAGCAGTGTGAAATAGAAACCTTTTCCCCTCTGGCTTCCTCTCTGTCTCCAAAACTGGCTGTTCTTTGGCTTCATATCTACGGCGTGCTGCTTCTGAGATACACACTGCATGAAAGCCTGCCATGCTTACGGTCAGAGCCGAGTGAATACAGGCAAAAGCAGGATGGAACAGATTCCCGGATGTTTGTACTGCACTGGAGAGGTCACTGAATCTGAATGATCCGATCCAATCATGGGTCTAGAAATCTGGAGACAGATAGGCTGACTTTAAAACAAACAATCCAATCGCAAGGTGTTAAGCCTTCATTGTGTAACGCCGACAAACCCCGATCATCGGTGGGCGGGATTGAACCTGGGACCTCTGGAGCTAAATATATGAGCCAAAAGCCACATGGCCCTTATCAAAGGCTGTAGCAGAGTTATTAATCTCTATATATAGAGCACTATAGAGCACAGAACACCACACCCAGGAGGTGTGTGGGTTACAAACTGCTCCTAGCTGAGGAAGTGTGTCCCGAGCATCAGAGATTTCCCACTTGAAATCCTGTACAAAGCCCTCTCTTGTAATGCTGACAAACCCCGGTCATTGGCAGGCAGGATCGAACCTGGGACCTCTACTGCATGAGCTAAAAGCCACATGGCCCTTAACTAAGGCTGTAGCAGACTCATTAATCTCTAAGTGATCTCGGTGCCACTAGAGGGGACGAACACCATACCCAGGAGGTGTGTGGGTTACAATTGGAACTCAGCAGAATTCTTAAAACAGTGATTTAGCTGTGTGCAGGGCATGGGAACAGCGACACTGCTCAGCCCAATGGTTCATCTAGTCTGGTCTTCCACCTCCTGCAAAAAACAGTGACAGATGCTATGCAAGAAGGTACAGAACATGTAACTCATTAGGTAATAATTTGCCTCTGGGGGAAGTTGGTGTTTGTCCTATGTCCCGAAGCAGGATGGTTTTGCATAATTTGTATCTCAGCTACTGTAACTGCAGATATTTTTATTAACCATGTAAGTGTCTAATCCTTTTTTGAGTTCTGTCAAGCTCAGTGTCTCAGTGGTATCACATGGCAGTGTGATAGGTTAATCAAGGATATATATAGAAAAAGAGTATTTCCTTTGATCAGTTTTAAATGTTGCCTTTCAGTTTCTCTGGATGTCCTGGTGTATTGGGGAAAGGCACATGTGATTTACCTTCTCTATAGCATGTGTTACTTTACACAACTCTCTGATGTCCCCTCTGAGGGTTAGATTCCTTTATTGAGGTCCATCCCAGAGCAGAGAGCAGGATGGACTGTCACATGCCTGGGAAGCACAGAGAACACTTCCCTGGGACACAGCACACTCCTGATACTTGTTTAGGGAACGGCCTGCTCCTTATACGTGTGTGGAGGGGGGACAGTGATGCAACTTCTCTTTCCCTGCTTTGGGCACTGTGCACAGGGCCGGCTCCAGGCACCAGCCCAGCAAGCGGGTGTTTGGGACGGCCAACAGAGAGGGGCGGCACGTCCGGCTCTTTGGCGGCAATTCAGCGGCGGGTCCCTCACTCCCTGTTGGAGCGAAGGACCAGCCACCGAATTGCTGCCGAAGACTGAAGCGGCGGCGGTAGAGCTGCCGCAGATCACAATCGCGGCTTTTTTTTTCTTTTTCTTTTTGCTGCTTGGGGCGGCAAAAACCCTGAAGCCAGCCCTGACTGTACACCTCAGGGTTGTAGTAATGGAGCAGCCTCTGTACACCCCTGAATGCAGGTATTGCGATTTGACTTGGCCCTTACACTTGCCACACAAATAGGTGGAACCCGCAGTCTGGCCCTGAGCTCAGTGTTCCCACCTGCTAAATCCTCCTCACATGGAATGTTCCAGGCTCTCAGCATTCTGGCCCCTTTCCCATTTCTGCCATATCTTTGATGGAATTGGCTGACTGAACAATGTCCCAGAGGAGGGCATCCCCTCAGTGTATAGAATGGCATCACCCTATTTGAATATAATAACCAGCTCTTTCTCTTTAGCTAGAGTTTATTTTTATTAAAAGAGTCATTTAAAGGCAGCAGCACAAGGAAGCTGCTATGATGGAAGGCGTACGGAGTGCACAGGTAAATGCCATAAATATTCATCTCTTGTCTGCTTTTCTGACCGCTTATGTACATCAGGCAGGAGTTTTCACTGAGCTGTTCATATGTCCCTAGGTAAAATTACTTGAGTTGGTTCCATAGTACAATCAGTAGCTACTAGGGCATGTTGCTTCCATGTGCTAACATTGTTAACATCATTGTGGGAGTGTTTTGGAATTTTGTGGCATGAACCACAAGTGGAATTGAACCTTTGATGAGTGCATCACAGGATCATGGAACTACTAGGCAAACAGAAGTCTGTCCATGAGAACGAGAAGCAAAGCAAAGGAAGCACAGGTGACAGCACAGACTACCAGGAAAATAGCCTGCAGAGTTTTGTTTGCTTATCCTGACAGCTAGATTTTATGTCAGAAATTCTAAAGTTGTGTGAGGCAACTATAAATCTAGGTCCAGGGTATAGCTAGATGAAGGCTATGCCGACACATTGATCTGACAAACACATGACAAATTCTATATGTTAAGCACTGGGGAATGCATATCGTTAGCTTTTGAACACACAGTGGTGCAGAACTCTGCATTCTGCCAGAAAGCAACATACATTAACATGCTCCATTTGTGTGATTTAGTTCCAGGGTCTCTTAATTAATATCCCTTATCTAGCAGGCTGGTCCCTCAAATGAATCAACTGCTGAATACTTTTCTGGCTAAGCAGATGAAAGCAGTGCTGCCATTAGAAGTTTTAAGGACCAGATGAGTCTAAATGTAAAAACAATTGACATGTAACTGATTTATTAGTTGGCAGGTCTTACTATTTTACATTACTGTATCACAAGAAATAATTTATTTCAGAACCTCAGTAGCAGCAAGACCAACCTGCAGTGTTTTCAGTGACCTCCAGAAGTGATATGCTGTGCCCCTTCTGAAGACTGCCCCTTTCCCCCTTTTTCTTGTGAAGAATAGTGGTTTTGATTTACCTGCTGCACAGTGCTGTGTGGAAAATCAAACAGTGGAGGTTTTCTATGCAAATATTTTTCTTTCAAAATAGAACCTTTAATGTATTCTAAGCAGCCTTTCTAACTTGAGTTTGCTTTCACTGTTATTAATTTTTTTATTAAAGATCTTGTTATTTTCAGAGTTCCCCAGTGACCCATTAACAACAGATTTTTATGGAAAAGAAGCATGGTTAAACTGGTGAAAATAACTGTGCACAAGTCATAAGTAAGTAATATAAGCTGCAGCAAGGATACTGTGTGTTGTTTTAATTTCCAAAATAGCAACAGTTCAGACATTTAATTGCATTTTTATGACTTTTTTTCATAGCTGCCTAGTGTAAAATACGTTGCCAGTAATATATAACTGCTAACAACTTTTAAGTTACTTAAGCTGGCATTAGATTTCTTATCCTATTGGAGATGAAGGTTATTTAATGTACTTCTCATTCTCAGAAAAAATTCATCTCTATTTTTTATCATATCCTCATTGCTGTTCTGTAACTTCTTTCCCCTCTTCTCACCATGGCTACCCTGCCTAAAGGCAGGGGGCAGGAAGAGCAGAGGAGTAATTTATTTATTATTCATGTATTTTCATGAGTTTAAGTTTATAAAGTGTGCCCTCCACTAAGTTTATTTTGCAACCAGCCAACAATGCTTCATCTTGCATAGTCAGTGCTAGCTGTTATTGGGGGCATGCAGGGTCACTAACCTGAACATCATCTCTCTCTCATTGTCACTGTGTGATAATGACTAATGACAGTGTCCATATTGCCAAGTCACAGCACAGGATAGACTGTTCTCTTCTGAATGTCAGATGCTTGCTCAGCATAACATTCCTCTTGTGGGTCCAGTGCAGGCAGAGAGGGAATACATGGAAAGCAGGTGCCACTTGATTCCAGGGCAGTTCCTGATCATTGAGATACAGACAAGAAGCTGCAGTGTGGGAATTACACCTCATCCTCACTCTGCTGTGTCTATCTCCCTGGAGTTTTTGTGGTGTTCGTCCCCATGGGAGCTGAGTGCCATACTACATTATATCAAGAGTAGGGCAGTCAAGCGATTAAAAAAATTAATCGCGATTAATCGTGCTATTAAACAATAGAATACCATTTATTTAAATATTTTTGGATGTTTTCTACATTTTCAAATATACTGATTTCAATTACAACACTACACAGAATACAAAGATTTATTGTTGATTACAAGTATTTGCACTGTAAAAAAAAGAAATAGTATTTTTCAATTCACCTAATACAAGTACTGTAGTGCAAGCTCTTTATCATGAAAGTTGAACTTACAAATGTAGAATTATATTAAAAAAATAACTGCATTCAAAAATAAAACAATGTAAAATTTTAGAGCCTATTTCTTGGTCAGCCAATTACTCAGACAAACAAGTTTGTTTACATTTGCAGGAGATAATGCTGCCCATTTCTTGTTTACAACGTCACCTGAAAGTGAGAATAGGCATTCTCATCGCACCGTTGTATCCAGTGTTGCAAGATATTTACATGCCAGATGCGCTAAAGATTCACATGTCCCTTCATGCTTCAACCATTATTCCAGGGGACATGCGTCTATGCTGATGACAGGTTCTGCTCGATAACAATCCAAAGCAGTTCAGACTGACGCATGTTCATTTTCATTATCTGAGTCAGATGCCACCAGCATCTATTTTGGTGGTTCGAGTTCTGTAGTTTCTGCATCGGAGTGTTGCTCTTTTAAGACATCTGAAAGCATGCTCCACATCTCGTCCCTCTCAGATTTTGGAAGGCACTTCAGATTCTTAAACCTTGGGTTGAGTGCTGTAGCTATCTTTAGAAATCTCACATTGGTACCTTCTTTGCGTTTTGTCAGATCTGCAGTGAAAGTGTTGTTAAAATGAACAACATGTGCTGGGTCATCATCTGAGACTGCTATAACATGAAATATATGGCAGAAGGTGGGTAAAACACAGAGCAGGAGACATACAATTCTCCCCAAGGAGTTCAGTCACAAATTTAATTAACTCATTTTTTTTAATGAGCATCATCAGCATGGAAGCATGTCCTCTGGAATGGTGGCCGAAACATGAAGAGTCATACGAATGTTTAGCATATCTGGCATGTAAATACCTTGCAATACCGGTACAAAAGTGCCATGCAAATGCTGATTCTCACTTTCTGGTGACATTGTAAATAAGAAGAGGGCAGCATTATCTCCTGTAAATGTAAATAAACTTGTTTGTCTTAGCAATTGGCTGAACAAGAAGTAGAACTGAGTGGACTTGTAGGCTCTGAAGTTTTACATTGTTTTGTTTTTGAGTGCAGTTATGTAACAAAAAAAAATCTACATTGTAAGTTGCAATTTCACAACAAAGAGATTGCACTACAGTACTTGTATGAGGTGAATTGAAAAATACTATTTATTTTATTATTTTTACAGTGCAAATATTTATAATAAAAAATAATATACACTTTGATTTCAATTATAACACAGAATACAATATATATGAAAGGGTAGAAAAACATCTAAAATATGTAATACATTTCAATTGGTATTCTATTGTTTAACAGTGCGATTAAAACTGTGATTAATTGTGATTAATTTGAGTTAATTGTGGGAGTTAACTGCAATTAATCAACAGCCCTAATAAAGAGTTCTTCTGGTGAAAACTTTATTGCCTCCGAGGCTGTTTGTCTCTGTCTCTCTTGGTTTCCCTGCCTTTCCTGTGCACATGTACAGATGGGAGCTGGGTTCTCTAAGAATGGAATTGGTATGAGGGGCTCCCTGATTGTTCTGGAGGTTCAACTGTGATGGGTTCGGTCACAGAGATCCCCTTGGGACTGTCGCTTGATGTGCTGAAATTACCTCTGAGCCCGTTTTCCCTGCCAGCTTGAGACTCCAGAACCCTGCCTTGTGATTTTATTAAGTATAAAAAATAGAATTTAAGTGGTTTCAAGTAAGAACAGACAAAACAAAGTAAATCACCAAGCAGAATAAAACAAAAATGTGCAAGTCTAAGCCTAATATATTAAGAAACTGATTACAGGTATTATCTCACCCTCAGAGATGTTCCAATAAGCTTCTTTCACAAACTAGACTCCTTCCTAGTCTGGGCTCAATTCTTTCCCCTGGTACAGTCCTTGTTAGTTCCAGCAGACATCTCAGGTGGTAAGCAGGGGCTGTCTCATGACTGGCTGACCCTTTGTCCTGCTCCACCCCCTTTCATACCTTTGGCACAAGGTGGGAATCTTTTGTCTCTCTGAGTCCCCATCCCTCCTTCTAAATGGAAAAGTACCAGATTTAAGATGGATTTCATTATCAGGTGACATGGTCACATGTCACTGTAAGACCCCTCGTCTCCATTCACCGTGGGCTGGCCCACACATACACAAGAAGGTTTGCAAGTAAACAGAGCCATTTACAGTTTATTGATTCTGAAGCACCCTTAATGGCTTCCACTTAATACGTTTACATCAGTAATACAAGTTTATATCTTATTCTCCTAACTCCAGACAGAGAAATAATAAATGCAAACAAATAGGATGAACACATTAAGTAGATTATAAGCTTTGTTATGATACCTTACAAGAGACCTTTTGCATAAAGCATATTCCATATGTTACATCATAGTCACATTCATAAGCATATTTTCATAAAGCATATTGAGTGCAACGTCACATCAGCTACTACTGGTTCACCCTCCCAGGGACTCACTGGTGAAGATACCTTTAAAGTCTGAACTCATGGGGGCAGGGGATTTTTTTTTAATTTATTCTTAAACTTTACATCAACCTAAAGTGACCTGAAAAATCCTGCTTGTTTTCCAGGGCCAAGAGGATCAGAGCCAGGTGCTTGCCCTAAAGCTTTGGCTTCAGCACCAAGTTGAGCTATTTGATCTGAAACTAAACAAACATTTTATGGGGGGGATGGGAGGAATGGAGGGAGAGAGAGAGAGGGAGGCTTTGAGACTCTGTTGTGATTCTTTCTGCCACTGTACTATAATTCAGTGCAATTACCTCCATACGAAAGCATAATATTCAGATGTAGTCATGGTTAACACTTATTCCTGATGGAGCTACAATTTCTCCTTTTGTGTTTGTTTTTGTCTTTTGCTAATACAGTAGCTCTCCATTTGCAGAAGAGCTTGGGAGACTTGGCCTGGCAGGCGACCTGCACTCTGCACACCTGGCTAGCCATAAGGTAGGTAACTAGGATTACTGAAAATCATTCACCTCACACAGTAAATATACACAGATTAACATACAATAAGCACCAAGTAAGATACTGGAAGAAGTTTATCTGTAGTTTAATTTAGTTGCAGCCTAGTTTATAATTTAAAAAAGCAGATACACTTGGGGTTTGAGAAACAGCTTTTTAAAGCCTAGAATGAAGGTTTATATATATATAAAAATAAATTAAATAAATAAATAAATAAAAAGAGCTGCTTAGTCAACAAGTGTCCTAGTAGCAGAGCAGGGGAAAAACTGTGGTATGGCAAAGAGCTATCACAGTTGGCCAGCTGATGCTGGAATTTTGCATGTGCACCCACTGTCAGTCACTTCTACCATTGAAAGGTAATCGGCTGCCAGCTCAGAAATATTTCCTCAGTGGATTCTGCGGAAGTGCAGGGAGGGGGCTGACAGGGTGCTGGGCCTTTGTAGGATTTCCTAAGCGCAACAAGCCAGGAACACTGACAGTGCTTTTACCCTGCAAGCCATCATCAGTGACAATGCAACAAGGTTAATGTAGGTGGAGCCTGCAGGAAGAGTTCTATGCTGCAGGGGTCCAGGGATGGACTAAATGCCCTAACAGCCTTTTGTATCTCAAACTTCCATGATTTACTGAAGAATATATTGACCCAGAATAAGAGTAGATTCAATGTTGATGGAGAAAGCAGAAAGGAGGGAGTTTATTTATTTGATTATATCTGCCACCAGGAACTATAGTAAAATACTATCCTAGTTTCTAGATTTTTGATGGCTACTTCATTCCCTTCACAATGTACGTCAGATATTCATTACCCAGATTAAACGAAGACCTCCAAAGATGACCTGAGTGTTTCCCTAGACAGCAAACAAAACTACCCCCTCAGCTGTTGTTAGATAAGCTCAGCCCAAGATTTAAAGCAATTTATTTCCTACTTTTATCATTGGCCACCCCACTTCAAGATCTGCCTCTTGGATGAGGCCCTGTCAACCGAGGGCAGACAAGGTGATTGTGCTTCTTCTAGTGCTACAACCTATTCTTCTGTACTTGCTCGTTTAAACCTACCTTGATAATGGTTAGCATTGCCTAGGATCCGGTAGCTCCAAAACCCTGTACAAACATTAATTAATACTCTCAGTATGTCTGACGAAGTGGGCATTCACCCACGAAAGCTTATGCTCCGATACGTCTGTTAGTCTATAAGGTGCCACAGAACTCTTTGTTGCTTTTTACAGATCCAGACTAACACAGCTACCCCTCTGATACTCAATACCCAATACACGGCTGCTACTCTAATACCCAGAGAGTATCAGTAGATGGGAAACTGAGGCAGGATGTTAAGTGACTTACCCAGAATGACAACAGAACCAGTAGCCAAGCTGGAAATGGAACCCTGGAGTGCTTGTTGCTAGCCCAGTTAGACAAGATGCCTCTGTGTCTATGTACTCATAGTTATTAGGGGTCTTATGTTTGGTCACTGTGTGCTGTCTCCCTGCAAGCGAGTCTACAACCTATATAACGGAAGTTGGTTGCTTGTACTGTGTTAATTGCACTACTTAAATGGGGTGCTAAATAGCTTAGCTCCTTCACTTCAGAGCCACATTGTAAGCCTCTCTCATGGTACAAAGGGATAAAAGGAGCATGAATGTTGTTCTGTAAATTAATAGCATAGTATTAGCAGCGACAAATCCCACCTCTCTCCTTCCCTCCCCCACCATATCTAGCAACTCCTTTCTAAGTCACTGTCAGTGCACTAGAGGGATGCTGTATTTATTAGGATCCAATAATGCATTACACATTCCTCCATGTGATTTTTTTTTAATTACTCCCTTGGGGATTAGTCAGGCAGTGTTGACGGTGTTGGACTATGCACTGGGGCTGTTCAGGTTAATGGTCCAATGATTCACACGACAAGACATTCTTGAAATGTAATTGATTGTATTAATTGTTTCACTGAACAGTGTGAACCAGAGCAGCCACCCCTGCGCTCCTAGCACTGGAGCTGAGCCTTTGCCATGGTAGCAGAGCGGGTGCTATAGCTGTGCCAGTTGGTCTGAAGGCTCTGTGTTGGCACGTCTTACCCCTCTTTTGTGCTTGGCTTCACTCTGCCTCTCTATTCTAGGCTGCTCATGGACGCCTCTTTTTTACAGACACCCAGTTTGTGGAGGAAAGACCTATGATGTCTGCTGAGACCAGCCATAGTCCTGGGGGAACAATCTCTCCATCATTCAGCAGACAATGTTGGAGTGCCTGCTGTTTGGCACAGGGTTGTATTAGGTTACTAGAGAGTCTTATTCAATAGGGTTGAAAAATGGGCAATTTGCAAAAACTTTATTACTCTCAAAACAGAGAATGACTTGGTGAAATTTAATATGGCTCAGAGAGACTGAAAGCAGCTACAGTGGAGCAGGCTCTCATGATTATGGCTGAGGTGAAGGCTGAGTGGCCTTCAATGGAGAAAGAGACAAGAGCATGGCAAGGACAGAAAGGACAAGATGCCCATGTCAGCCTGCACTGGATGCACCCAGGGATGTTCCCCCCTCCTTTTGCTGAGGTGGCCTGAGGAAGGTGAGATTTTTCAACAGCACATCAACTCATGTTGAATGCATTGAGTGAGCAGTTGGCATTCCTACCCTGCTCTGTATCCACTCCACATGTCAACTGTTTCTTCTTCTGGGCTGTAACAGGGTCAGCACCCACCTCTCATGCATGCCCCTCTTTTCTCTGTCCAATAGTGCCAGCAAACAGTTCTTTTCACTGGGGCATCACCCACCTCTCGTGGGTGGCCCCCTTTCTCTGAAATATGAGCCTGCTTTTATTTTTTGGTCTTACATCAGGGTGGAACCTGCCTCCCGCAAGCACCCCCTGACTGGTGGTCCTCTCGGATGGTCTTTGGCAGGTCAGCCCTCCAGCTGAGCCGCACATGCTGTCCCCCCTTCCAGAGTATACAGTCAAAGCTCTTTTTCAGCCCTTGTATGGGGTCATAGTTCTAAGGCTTCTTCCCTGAGGCACTGCCTTCTTCAAACATCCAGCCAGGGCCCATCTCAGTACCCTCAGCTGGTGTCCTTTTCAGCAGCCCTCCCTAGGCTCAGTCTGCCACCAGACCAGCAGGCCCTATCTTGGTACTCTCGCCTGGTCTGGCAGATCCTGGGCTCAGCCTGCCCAAACTGACCTTTTCATGGTCCTGCTGCTACTCTATCCAGCCAGCTAGGCACATGGTCTTTGGCGACCTCCGCTGGGCTCAGTTCTATCTGGTGAACTCTCTGCAGTGAGCTATCCGCAGTCCTGCTGTTCGTCTGGCCAGCCAGACACCCAGTCCTCCCTCATCAAGCTTCACACAGCAACTGCACTTCTCTGCTCTGCTGCTTGTCTTATATAGGGCCCTTCTGGTCCCTCATTGGTCACTCCAGCAGCCCCTCTGATTGGCCACTCTTCTGCAGCCACTCTAGGCTGCCTGAAGGACTTCTCGCTGCTCTATTCTGGGGCAGGGTGATGGAGAATCACAAAGTCTCCAGCAAGGGGCCTCCAGACCTAGTCCACCCTGCCACATGTGGCTTGACTTTTATGGTAACTCTGGGAAGAGTAATGGAACAGAAACCCAGCTCAAGCTCTCTCCCTAAACCTAGATCCCCAAGCTTGGCTGTCTCCAGTTTCCTGAAGGACCTCCCTGTCTCTGATCCTTGTTCCATCTGATCCAGGGCCACAGGAACTAAGCATTTGTACTCACAGTTCCAACTCCTGCGAACAGGGTTGGTCAGCAGATGAGCCAGGCTTCCCTGTGTGGGGCTGTGGGTCCTGCTTCCCTGTCACACCATATAAGAGAAATATTCTAGAACTTAACTTGTGGTGTAGAGTGTGCAAGGGGACTGGATGCGAAGGGCTGTGCTGGTAACCGTGTGTGTGTGTTGTGGTGCTCCACCCTGTGGAAGGCTCCTGGCTGGTCACCTTGGAGCAATGTGCACTGACATTAATTGCTGATAATTCACCAAGGACACAAGATAATGAGCAGGAAAATAACAGAGATTCACGCCTCTGTGCAGTAGGGCCTCCTGCTGTGAGCCTGAGCTGCCCCATCTCCACAGCCCTTTGCCTGCTCTGACCAGGGCCATGCTGCCACTGCATGCGCTGTTGGTACTCCATAGATAATAAATAGCCTGGATAAACAGCATCCCTCACTGGCCGGCTGCAGGAGCAGCTGGAACCCCATTGCCTGGCATCCTCAGGGCTCCAGCAAAACCTGAACTGCACTCTCACCAGACAGACAGCAGGATCAACCCATCCACCTCATCAGGGAACCTCAGCCGCAGAGTTCTTCCTGGGATCCTGCAGCCACCTGATTCTGCTGTTATCATGGCCCTGGCATTGGGGAATGGTGGAGGCAGTTTTTCACTTAAATTAAAGCCCAGCAGCATCCCAGACACCTGGCATTTCCTGAGGGTCGGGGTATCTCTGTTCGTCTTATGTGCAATGGGAAAAATGAATGTGTGAAAACGGGGCACGTTGTTTAGTCCACTAAAAGCAATGCAGGGTGCTGGAGTCTTGACCTGTGTTAGACTGAACTGTTCCTTAATCCACCCTCCCAATCACTGTGGAGTCCTGATTGTCAATCCCAAAGTGGTTGGTGTTACAAACAGCAGCATGTGCATGGGATAATTTAATTTGCATGCATTTTTCCAGGTCAGCCCAGAGCAGCTTGGAAATGTGCTCACTTAAGAGGCAAATGTAGCACAGCTGGCTATAAATTACAGTAACATATTGTGGGAGACCTAGCAATGAGGTGCATGTTGTTGAAGAGTGTCATAGATAGTAACCTATTAAGCAAACTATAATTATAAATGTACCATTGAAGACTTCACCGTTATAATTAACTCTGGCTCAGAACATTATCTCCAAGCAGAGTCATTGTGATTGATTACGTTGGTTAGTGTCTAGGCTGTGAGAGGCAGGGTAACTGTTGAAATAGAGAAGGAAGTAGATTTTTTGTACTTGTCTCTAACGCTAAAAGAATCTACCAGTTTGGCAAGCTCCTGGGTAGGACAGTTCTCCCGCAGGTCTGTGCCAGCTGCCATCCCCAAAACGTCCAGATAATGACGTTCAGTAAGAAAAACTGGGGTCTTTACAATATCCTGGGAGATGTGTTATTGTCCATGTGCTCAAATAGTTCAAACACTGCTTTGTTATAAATGTGAGATGAGAGCAGTTTGCTCAGACAACAGTTTGGAATTTAAAGCCATACACTCTGATACACCCAAATTTCAGAGCATTCCCAGCAAATTTTAAAAGCTTCTTGACTAACTGAGAAAGCAGAGTGCTAGAGATCAGAATGCAGGATTGGGTGCCAGATGCTCTCAGCTTTCAATTCCACCTTTGCCATTGAGTCCTTGATTGTTGTGGGCGAGTCACTTAGGGTGGCGTTTTCAAACGTGGGAGCCTTACTATACAACTGACCTGATTTTCAAAGATGCTGAGGCTTTACTCACAGCTCCCACTGGTTTCAGTGGGAGTTGCACATGTTGAGCCCAACCAGCTCAGAACCACTGGGCAAGAAGGAAGCTCACAGGAGCCTAACCCAGCTCACTGCGGAGCTGACATTAATGCAGTATGAGCAAATGATAAATGCTCTATTCGCTGAGTATGGTGCCCTGATGTATTAAACATGCAGAGAAGAAGGGAAGCAGCGTTTCAGGGGGACAGAGCAAACCCGGACCCCGGAGAGAAGGTGGAATATTGACCCTGTTAGATTGTGGCTTAGGAATTATGGTGAAGATCAGGGGTCAGCAACCTTTCAGAAGTGGTGTGCCGAGTCTTCATTTATTCACTCTAATTTAAGGTTTCGCTTGCCAGTAATACATTTTAATGTTTTTAGAAGGTCTCTTTCTATAAGTCTATAATATATAACTAAACTATTGTTGTATGTAAAATAAATAAGGTTTTTAAAATGTTTAAGAAGCTTCATTTAAAATTAAATTAAAATGCAGAGCCCCCCCAGACCGGTGGCCAGGACCCGGGTAGTGTGAGTGCCACTGAAAATCAGCTCACATGCCGCCTTTGGCACGTGTGCCATAGGTTGCCTACCCCTGGTGAAGATGTTAAAATCACTTTCAAGAAATGGGAGCACCAAACCCTTTGGAGTGGCTATCCTGCAAGCAGATTCAGGAAAAGGCTTTGAGTCTCTGAAATTGTGGCTCCAGAGATACTGGGTATAGACTGCATGGTCCAAGGCAAAGTCAGCTAATTTTCAGTGTATAAAGTGTGTGTAAAGTTCAGCAAAAAGAGCTCTAAAAGAGATATCTTGGGCACAATATCAATCCTCTTTGAACCTCCTGCCAACCGCTAGTCACTTACTGAAGTTTTATAGCACTAGCTTAGTAGTGGCAGCCTTCTAAATCTGTCATATCTTGTTTTATTTGCATCAAGAGTATAATTATCTTCATACAAACTTTAGTTTTTTCTAAAAGGTGAGAATGGTCCCTGATTTATGTTCCCTACAAGGCAATTCCTTCACTCCTGGATGTAATATGTCACAAACCAAAGTGACGCTGCAGCATTGCTGCAATCCCTCTACCTTCCCCATCCCTGCCTTCAGGATACTGCACATATATTACACCGTGACAGCAAGTCCCAGCTTCTCCCCCTTCTCCTCCAGTGCTCCTCTTCAGAGGTGTCTCTGCACTACATCCAGTCAATTTGTAAGTGGTGGCTTTTCAGAAATGCTACAACATGCTCCCAAGAACCGAGACATGCCTGGCTCCTGACACCCTCACAGAAATTCCCTTTGGGAAAGGCAGCACAGAAGGAGCAGGCCCAAAGCAATAGTCAAACTCTCCCTCTCAATAGCAGGTGGGCAGACAGTGGGGCACGTCCAGGGCCATGGTGATGGGAGTGGCATAAATGCCTGGAGGAGAAGGCGTGTTCTGGGGAATGGCAGCTTGCTGGTCTGCATCAGCCCAGGTTGCTGGATGCTGACTATCCTCTTACAGCTGCAATAAGTTTGGCAGTTAAGTGCTCTTCCTCATGCACAGGGATCCGCAAACCTCTCCACAATGATCAGCTGCTGTGCAGATCAGGGTGGAGGTGCACTGACAGCTGCGTGGGTGTCTGACAATCAACAAGGGTCTTAGCCTGGTGACTGACACTGGACACTCAAACAGTGGGAGTTGCAAAGCAGCCGTCTCCCACTTTGGCTGTCCATCCCTTTGGGAGGGCAACCTGCCCCCTGCAGCTCGTGCGTTGAGCACCTGCTGGCTGGACTCTTGCAGATCACTCTGGATCTAGATGCAATGTTCATGATGAAGCCAGCACTGGAACATAATGTTGCATTCTATCTCCCGGGCATGACCAGCCAGAGAGCATATTATACCAGTCTTCCATAACTGCAGTGTCTCCTTGTGGTGCAGTTCAAGACCTGGTACTGATCCATTCTACCTCAGGGACTCTCGTTTCTTCCAGGACATGTCATGATTGGTGGGTGTCTGACAATTACCAGAGCTCAGTGGTCAGCATGAGGGAGCCTCTTCCATAGCAGGTCCAAGACTCTGGTCTGCCCTCCCCAAGGGCCTTTCTTCTAGGCATCTTCTTCTTATTTGTATTATCGATCTTCAGATCACTCTGCAGTGCTCACCTCAGTCCCCAAAGCAGAAGAAAACCTGACACTGCATCTCAAAATAGAAACCAGTGGTTAAACGAAAGAGCAGGATGGAGAACTCTCTCTCTCCCTTTGGGATTATCTATGCACAATCTAGTTTCCATGCTCAGAGATGCAGAAATGCTGTTTTGCCAGAATAGCAGGAGGCACTGAAGGTCAGAATGAGGAGCAATGACAGAATGGTGTGGGGAGCCCTGGGCTGGATCAGAACGGGTGGGGAGTGGGGCAGGAGTGAGGTGCAGGCCAGGACTGATATGAACAGGGTGAGAGGAGAGGATTGTAGGGCAGTGACAGAGCTATTGGAGGGGCAAGGGCGGGGGATGGCTACAGCAGTGGGAGCTACAGGTCATAGTTTAGGTGTATTGGCAGAGCTGGGGGCGAGGGCTGCCAAAACACCTGCCTGTCTGGTTTCAGCTAGAGTAACAACGTCTCCCTTGTATAAACACTAAATTCATTCACAAAATGTTTAACGAGTGCAGAAAAATATAGCTGTCCTGAGTGAGCTGACGTGTCACGGGACGCACAGCAGTGGGATGAAGGATTTAGCCGCTAAACTGCTTCTGGACCTTTCCAGTACGTCCTTTGCTTCACCCTGCAAAAATCCTGTGGCTCCACACGAATCATGATGCTAATGACTAATGAGGAGGATGGTGGCTAGAATGCTGAAATGAAGATTTATGGCCATGACTTGCTCCCCCCGGGTTATTTCCCACCCCTTTGCATGCAGGCAGATGGGACTGCTCCACTGTCTTCTTCTCAAAGGGAGGTTGTGACATTCTCTCTTTTCAACCTTCTATCTAATTTCCCTGAAGACTTTTTCCAAAAGGACAATCTGAGAAACCTCCTTGCTGTCAGTGAACAGCAAGTTAGAGTTCAGCTACTGAGCATGGAATCGCCTGGGACCCGCTGGCAGTCGAGCATCAGAAACATTTGGGATGGAACTTTTACCGAACTCCGAAGCTGAGCAAACAATTACTGAGTTTCCCAGCAGTGCAAGGTGACAAAACCATCCAAGGGCTAAACTGCTAGATAAGGCAGGGGCCTGTTCTTATGTTTCTGTAGGATCTGTTTGGAAAATAAAAACTCAACCCTCAGACATCACAACCTATCAACTACAATGTGGGGGAAAGCCAGCCTCTCTGCGCCTTGTCATGTCTTCATTCATACCTTAGAGTGTGAGTGCCTCAGGGCGGTGTCACATCCTATCCACTCTGGTAAGAACCCTGGACACCGGGGGGGTTTCTTATTGCATTGGCACCTAGAGGCCCCAACCAAGATAAAAGCCCCCATCACATATTCACTGAACAGAGTACGAGTCAGTCCCTGCTCTAAAGGGTTTATTATAGTCCAAATGGACAAGACAGAGAAAGGGTGGGAGAAAGGGAATATTAACCCCATTTGACAGCTGGGGGACTGAGGCACAGAGACACAAAAGCCTTGATCCAAAGCCCATTGAAATTGAGGGGAAGACATGGACTGAATTCAATGGGCTTTGGATTAGGCCCTACGAGTACGTCCACACTGCAATAAAACACCTGCTGCTGGCCTGTGTCAGCTGACTTGGACTTGCAGGGCTATAAAATTGCAGTGTAGATGTTTGGACTTGGGCTAAAACCTGGGCTCTGGGATCCTCCCCACTCACGGAGTCCCAGAGCCCGGACTCCAACCCAAGCCTGGACGTTGACACTGCAATTCTACAGTCCCACAGGCTGAGGTCCCTGAGCCTGAGTCAGCTGATCTGGGACAGCCACGGGCATTTTATTGGGGTGTAAATGTACCCTCAGTGATTTGCCCAAGGTCACAGTGGGGCTCTGTGACAGAGTTGAGAACTAAATCCGGATCTCTGGAGTCTCAGTCCAGAGTCTTCACCGCAGAATAACCATCTTTATGGAGCTACAGAAATGATTATTTGATGATAATTCATTGGATCCCTTCCCTCTGCAGATTTCTATATTCATTCTAGTGGAAGAAGCCACCACTCACACAGTGAGGACTCTACCCCTTCTTAAAAATGTCAGAGCTATGATGGTAGAGACAGGCTCTCTTGCCGTTTCCTTGAACAGAAATTTCAGGGCTTTGTGGACAAGGGAGTGTTTCTCCCATCTGGAAGCCCTTTGGCTGGATTAATACTTCAGGCGCTTAGGCCTTCTTTCTTTATAGTTGGTCTCTCCATTCAGCATTTGAAGGATGACAATTATCCCTGCTTTGTGAAATATAAAACCTGCCGCCCCCTGTGCTCCATCCCATTCCTCTGACAGCAGTCGTGGCATTGTGAGATGCACTTGCTAATGTTCATTCAAATGTGAACCTGAGAGGAGCCATGTAGACGAATCACAATGAGGTCTCTAGGGTGCCTCGGCAAGGTGAAACTCCGGAGAAGAAGTTTGTTAAATGTTCATAAAAACTCTGGAACAGTTGGTGAAATTCTGTGATTTTTATCTTGGTCACCAGCCAGGGGCGGCTCCAGGCACCAGCGCAGCAAGCGCGTGCCTGGGGCAGCAAGCCGCAGGGGGCGGCCTGCCGGTTGCTGTGAGGGCGGCAGTCAGGCTGCCTTCGGCGGCATGCCTGCGGGAGGTCCGCCGGTCCCGTGGTTTTGGTGGCAATTTGGCAGTGGGGACCTCCCGCAGGCATGCTGCCGAATCGGCGTGACCAGTGGACCGCGCTGCCAAAAGCCACCTGACTGCTGTGCTTGGGGTGGCAAAAAACGTAGAGCCGCCCCTGCCACCAGCTTGTCCTTCCTGCAAATGGTCCATTAGCTGTTAAACCACAGCACGTGATGAGCATGGTTGGAGGCACACTTGGTAACGGCAGTGTTTTATTTGCACGTGCACACAGGCCACCACACACTTACAGGCCAATTAACAATTTACGGGGGAAAGCCAGTGATGGGACTAGAACACAGATTCTTCATGTAAGCGAGCACTCAGCCAGTTGGACAGAAACAGCTGCTGCAGCATCTCAGGCCAATGGCCACTTGTTCTATTGACCCAGATTCTTTACAGTCATTGTTGTCATCAGACCAAGGGGTGTGAATGACACGAGGATGGTGCCTGGGATGTCAGCCCCACAGGGAGTGTTTCTCACAGGTGAACTAACTGCGATGTGTGGCAAACAGGCAAATAAATGGCGTAGGCAATGATTGTATTATGATTAGGTCTCAGTACAGAGTGTTGCATTTACAAAAAGACAGGCACATTTA